CTATGTGCCTGATCCACAGCCCAGTGACTTCCAGACCAGAACCTGACCTGCTGTACATAACAAAAGGAAAGCACCATCTCAGGTTTCCATCATTTTTGGTGAATCTGAAGTGCATGGAGCCCACCCTCCCCTCCCAACCAGCATAAAACCCCCACTGAAATGGAGGCAATGCCAGCTCTCCAACGACAATGCCATAGGAACTGCCCAGAGTATTTCCTTCTCTCCAGTCTCAACATGTAGGAAATGCTGTCACAATGCCCAAAAGCCCCCAGTAAATCGCAGCAGAAGCTCAGGTACCTGCAATAACCACCTCAGAGCCACCAGAGTAGCTGTGCTGAGCCAAGAGGGCATTACAGGTGACAACCATTGCTTTATAGAAATAACATTACCAATAAACAAGCTCAACAGCACCTTCTCTTCTTGGAGGGGAGCACTTCACATGAAGGGCATCCATGTCACAGCTGCTCAATTAATTAACTCAATTTATTTTAACCAGGACCTCCTGGGTTTCTGCTGGGTCATCAGGTGCCTGGACTTAGAACAGGGTGGTCTGCTCTGGGGGGGGTCTCTTGGTACAGAGAGACCATATTTTTCTCTGCTCCTCATACCCCGTTCTTTTGCCACCACACCATGTAATTCACCTTATTACTGAAGTGGCAAAATCAGCTTCAGGAGTTCAGGATCCATGAAGCAGAGATTGGAGCTTGCGTGAGGTTCTCTGACACATGAAAGGAAAGAAAAAAAAATCCCACTAATGGAAAAAGTCCTCAATAGCTTCATCCAAGCAAACAACACTCCCCCTGAAAACAAAGCAAAATCCCACAAAAAGATCAATTTAAAAATGCAGGAAATGCTAGCAAATGTCTTTATTCCCTTTTGCAGCTGTAATTCTGCCTTCAAGTACATCTGCCTCACCAGCCTGCCCTGCGTTCACCTGACTGTGTGCAATTTTCCTGCTTTATTCAGTGCTCAGAATGACTGAACGCTGAGCAGAGCCAGAAGCAGCATTTCTGCTCAAGGCACTCTCCTGCCCTACACGCGATGGGGCAGCCGGAGGGTGGCGATGGATGGGGTGGTGGTGGCTGAGACTGCATCCCAGACACTCTTTTCTTCCTAATTGTTATTCCTACCCAGTATATTATAGTGAGGAATAAAAAGGGGATTCTGCTTTATCTTGCTATTTTATTTTATTTTATTTTATTTTATTTTATTTTATTTTATTTTATTTTATTTTATTTTATTTTATTTTTTAACTTTTTTCAACCATGTAAGCAGCCAAAGCATTTTTAAGCTGCCTCTCCTGCTACCACACCCCAGTGCTGCCGTGGGTCACACTTCAGCATCCAGCAGCAGGGGACAGGACTGGGGACAGCCAGTCTGCTCGGGCACTTTAATGGAAACTGGCTCCGGCTGTGCCAGCCTGGCGGGTTTTGATTTAAACTGCAGTTATAAGGTGTGATTAGAAGCAGGGGATGCTGTGCCAAGAGCTCAGATGTGAAGCATGAAAAAAAAATACAAATCCACCCCCCAAAACTGTATTTCTTCTGTGACATACCGGGTAAGGAGGCAGACCTTTTCCCAAAATTGGTTCAGCAAGGTCTCTTCCTCATGGCTCTCACTCAGCTCAACAGTTAATTTGGCAAAGGGAGACCTTTGGAGACGGCAACGCTGTTCAATCTTTCAGCCCATCTGGATAAAATCACAATTCAATGAAATTGCTGGGTCTTTATCTTCATGCAGCATCATCATACAGTTAATTTCAAGCCTTCCAGTAAGCTGTAATACATCTTTTAGCCTAAGAGCTCTTTTGCATGACACTGAAATAGACCCCAGTCTACATACATCTGCTGCCAAGACAAATGCATGGTTCAGCAGCAGTAAAGAGGATATAAAAGACTCCCACGTTACAAATGTAGGAGGCAGAGGATATTTTAGCATGGCAGTGGTTACACTTTTGGCAGCTCTGCTATAATAAACTTTGTTTTCAGAGCCTTAAAATATTCCCTGTGCAGTGAAGACTGACATATCTGCTTTCAGAGGAGCTGTTCCAGGAGCTGGGGATGGTGAACAGAGCTTGGGAACATGGGGGAACACAAGGAAGATGGAGTTAACATTGTCCTACATTTCAACAGGTATTTCCTCACAAAAGGCAAATCCCTACGTGTGCCACTGGGTCCTGGTAGGCAGGGGAAGGATGCTGAGGCAGGCCAAGGCTGAAAATATGGGAGAGATAAGGGTTGTAAGACACCAACCTTGTGCAGGAAAAGTCCTTGGAGACCTCCTCCACCTTCCCATCTGATGGAGTGCTCTCCAGTCACTTGCCACCACCAGGATGTCATCGTGAGGGTGCCTGTCCAGACCTATGTTACTGCCTCGAAGCGCAGGTCCCACAGTTACAGCTGGCAGGTGGACACTTTTGCTGACTTTGATCAAATCTTTAACGTTTTTCACCCAGATACAGTATGCAAGAGCTTTTCTGGCTCCACCTGCTTGAGACGTGTGAGCACAACTGCAGCAGTCACCCTTGCTGTGTTATTCACAGTAGGCAAAGAGGATGAAGGAGTGAAGGGCAGTAACCAGGCTGGGTGGGAGCATTTGTGCTGCAGAACAAATCAAAAGTGCACCAGAAGGGGAGAGGAAAAAATGCTTAAGACACCAGGAGAGATGGAGGACTTTGGCTTCCATGTTTCCCAAGTCATCCTGAACTCAAATGACCAACCAGGCACCAGGACTGGGGCTCCATACCCTGTTCCTTTTGGGTGGGGTTGGTCAAAGGAGGGTGGTGAGCACCCAGCTCTTCCCATCGTCTCCTTGGAGTCAGTACCAGCAGGCAATGCGGGGCTCCTGCCTCCTGCTCCACAAAGTCACGCTGAGAAACACCAGGCAGAAGCAACTTCCCACTGCAGCTGGCTGGGAAGTAGTTTGTGCCACAGAGGTGCTTATGGAGCTAATTAGCAGTGATGACTCATACCTTAATGCACTCTGCAATGGCAGGAATAGCAGCGAAAACCTTGATCCAGTCCATTTTTTGAGCATAAAAGGAGAGCTCGTCTCATGTAGCTGAGGGGAAGGGGAGGCAGGAGGGGCAGCATCACGACTCTAGATACGACCTGGTGCTGCTGATCTCTGTGCTCCCCTGGAGGCAAGGGAGGGTTGTTCCCTGGGAGCCAAATGCCATCACCACGACGCAGAGGGAAATGTGTTCTACTCACGACCACCATTTCCCTTTGCTCTGGGAACTCAGCCCAACAAGGAAAGATTGCTTTGAAATGTCAGGATGGATTTCCAGTCCCAGTTTCTGAGCTTTTCATCCACTTTTGCTGTGGCTGTAAAGGGACAAGACAATTTAAGACCAGCTCTAGCCACAAACACAGCATGCTGCTCGTGCAAAGTGCACAAAGAAGGCTTTGCTCTGAAAAGGTCTCATGGCTCAGTGGGGTCCCCACCAAGCTGGCAGCAAAATTTTGGTGAGTCCTGTCGAAGGCTCTTGGCCAAGCCCCAGGTGTCATATTTACCATCAGCCTACTAAAAGAGAGAGAGGTACCATCAGGGAATCGCTTCAGTGCCTGGTATTTTAAAGAACTGATTTATCACCAACATTTCTGCAAGCTGCTGTGGCTCAGATCCTCAGCTGAACCAGAGGCCAACACAGTGGAGCAGAGGAGAGCAGGGAAGAGGTGGTTTTCTACTGTCTCCCGCTCCCTTCCCCTCCAATAAAAAAAACATTTCTCAGGGTCCAACCTGTGGTAAGAAAGGGTTGAAGCCTCTGTGTCCATTCAGATCAGTCTGAGCCATTAATTTCTTGCAGAAAGGATAGCTAAGAGCTCAGATGAATAGCAAAGCAGGCACAAAGCCATGCTCTGTGCAAGGAAACTTGAGCAAATATTGACCTAACCCAAAGTGCAGGCTTAGTGTCAAACCCAAAAGGAGATCTGGTCAATGGGACCAGCAGGACTTCACGTGGCAGGTGCAGTCCAGACACCTACACATTTCTGTGGGTACGCAGAGTCAAGTTTAGTAACAAGTAAACTGAACAGTGTTGTTTTTTTGTGATGTTTTATGCATCCATACAACCCTAGAAATTCTACCCTGCCAGTTAGGGTTTCTGGGCCAGCGAGAAAAATACTTATTATCATCATGACTCTTTTGAAAAGCTCATTGCTATGTGTGCGGAACTTGGATGGGGTCTCAGTGTGGAGGATTTTGAGAGCATGTGACAGCATTATAGTTTCATGCTAATCCGTCCTCGTTGTGTGCTATGAAAAATAAATAAAAACCACCACTTCCTAATCCCTAGGTTACCAACTGTGGGAAAAAATGTGTTTGCCGTGGCCTTCACAAGCACTTGTAAGTGTCACACTTTTGTATTTATTTATTAAGGGAACACATAACACGTTGTTCCTAAGCTGTGTAGCTGGGTTGCAAAACCCACACAGCTCCCGCCCAGGACCCCCTTGCCGTCCCCACCTGGCATTGCCCAGCTTCTTCTGCGCAGGGTTCCTAGGAGGTTAAAGAGGGGGAAAAAAAAAAAAGAAAAAAAGTTACTTTGCTACCAGATCGAGTACCAAAGCAACTCAAAGACCTGGATATGTTCATGGCCCACAGGCTCAGCCCTCCAACGCAAAGCCAGGTGCGGAGTCCTGCTGGGGGTGAGCCTCTGCGTGGCCCAGGAGGGGAAACAGTCTGGGATTCAAACTTCAGACAAATCCTTTCATCTCATTTCCCCTTTCCAATCAGTTTCCAAGGGGAAAGCCATCATGGACTGGGAACTGCTTTTGTACCCTTGCCTCTTTACAACTCAGGACAAGGAGCCAAAAGACCTCCTAAAAGTTGGCAACGGGCAGCAATGGAGCAAGTCCTCCAAGCAGGGAGGGTCCTGCCCTGCATGCACATACACAAGGGGCCCTGCACACTTGGAGGGGGTCACATTGGCCAACATTTTAGGCAACAGAACAATAAAGATGACGTAGTCACAGAAAGACATGCAAGCCCAGCTCTGCTCTACTAAAAACAAATTTTCCTTTTAATACTTGCACCTCTCACACTGAAAGATGTCCAGGTTTAGCCTCTGCTGATCTTCTGTCCCAGAATCCAGCAGGGCACCAGCCACCCACCACTAATTAATGCGATGGATAACTCAGCAGCACAAGTCACCTCGAGTTACCTCGGCCATGGAGCACAGCAAATCCTTCCGCAATGAAACAGTGCGGCAGGAATTATCTCGATCTGTAATTGCTCTGAGCAGACAATAAAGCAGCTCATGCTGGTGGAAGTAGCCACTTAGAGGTAATAACCCTGTGAGTAACAATAATGTTAGATAGCAGATACTTGATAAAAGGCAGGGAACAAAAGAAAAAGCTTTCTTCATTATACAAAGAACGGATGTTTTCTCTTTGCTTCCTTTGGTTCAGAGATGCATTTAGCTCTTTGGAGAGAGGCAGAGGACAGATCAGCAGCGCACACAGAAAAAGCATCATTTTCCACGAGTGAGATCATAGGCAGGAAAATTAGTTTTCTCCTTTTAATCTTTCCTGATTTCTACCCAGACGCCATCCGTTTTATTTTCTTCAAGAGAAACGTCTGCATATGGTTGGGAAAAAACCTGCCCTAGACAGCCCTGCAATAGCTGCCTCCAGTCCCTGTTGACTCTGTGTGGAGAATAAATCTGGAAAAAAGCCAGGTCCTGGTTAGGACTGTGGTCTTCAGTCTGGCTTGATGGCCATCTGAGACCTCTGCAGTGGTCACTATATCCCAACTCAGCTGCCCAGGGAGCTCAGACATGGCTGAGGAGGGAAGATGCTCCTGAAGCATCCTTCTCCACTTCCTAAAAGACCACACCGAAAAGAAAGAAATCACCCCATGCTCGCTCTTTCCCTCTCCTCAGGCTGCCACATGGAAGATGCGAGCTGAATGAGACGTAAATCAGAGCAAAGAGAAATCACAGGAACAGCAAAGCCTAGCAGGATTTTGGAGGGCTTTAAAGACCCCAGTGCACAGCTGGACACCCTGCAGACCCCGCTGCAGCCACACCAGGATTTTCCCTGTAAATGGACGAACGCTGGGCTTTGAGATGGCCGTCTGCAGCACAGCGGCAGCGCACCAGGGGACAGCTCTGCAGGACTGCAGAGGTTCAGCACTGCTCATTAAAGTGCTGGGGAAATGTGAATGAACCAGATGAATGGATGAATAAATGAATGAAGGGAGGAAGAACGAGTGAATGAATATTGCATTGAGTTGGTGCCTTTCATCCTGGGATTGTGGAGCCGTGCAGCTCAGCTGCTGTGCAGAAACCGTGTCCGTGCTCCCTGGGGAAACCCTCGGCCAAAACACATCAGATTATTTCCCAGGGCTGTCGACAGAGCCCTTTTGGGGACGATGTGGCATATGGACGCGTATTATTTGAAGCATGAAGCTTCCCCCTAACCAAATCCCTCCAATTCCCTCTTCGTCAAAGTGACAGATCATTACTTTTGGAGTTGTTCTCATTCTTGCTGCTCCAGACACTGAGCGATTTCCATGGCAACGACATCCCAGCCCTTCCAGGCCTTTTCCAACCTCTGTCGTCTTCTGTCGAGTCACACTGGTGCATACCCTGGAGAGAAAAGCGGCAGGGACATGACGGCGCCTGTTGGCACCAGAAGGGTTAAAGGACCCTCCCCAGGTCACAACCAAGGGGCAGCACAGGGCTTGCAGGCAGCCACGAGGATTTTTAAGGACATTCAGGGCATGCTGAACTGAGAGATCATTTTCTGCAGGTTTTACTGTGCTAAACGCAATGTGCAATGGGCTAAACCCAACAACCGGCATAAACGTGGATGGGCTCAGGGCTGTTTAAATGGGGATGTCTGAAGGAAGCAGGGAGGATTTCTCACTGGGGAGGGATGGGTCAGCCCACGATGCTCTCCTGCAGGAGCCCATAATGCTCCTGAGCAGGGCCAGGACTGAACCCGGGTGCTATGGGGGTCACGTAGCTGATAGGTGCTTTTGGCCCGTGCCTCTGCCTGCTCCAGGCTGCAAAGCTGCCGAGCATGGCTGCATGAGCCAGCTCGCTTTGAGGCCTGAAGCAAAGCTCAGTGAAAGCCAGGAGATGACCCATGGGCTTCATGCAGCTCTTCATGCTGACCCTGACAGCTCCCAGCACACTGCCCTGGGTACATGGCAAATGCTGCACCGAGTGAGCGGCCGCTGCAAGCCCTGCTCACACAGCAACCACCTCCACTGCTGGCAGGAGCTGCAAGCAAATTATCCCAATCCCTGCAGAAAGCAGCCTCCCCTGGGAAAGATCCATGAGGATTTAGGGATGCTGGAGCATCTCCCCCCTTCTATCAGGTACCGTGCCTTGGTCCATCTGCTCTTCCCTTTCGATTCAAACACAGATTTTATCATGACTCAACAGGGCTTTGCTGCCAGAGGTGTGCAGCCCTGCCTCATCCCAAGAGCATTTTCAAAAACTGTCTCAAATTTCAGGGTAACCCTGCAGAGTTATGGCCTTACAACACACACCAGTGCTGCACTGGGTGCAGCGTGCTGCTTATCTCATCCAAATACTAATGAGTACCAAATGTAGGGCACAGGGCCTGCTTCCCTGTCTGTCCGTGGGGAGTTTGGCCACTGATCTCAGTGGCTGCAGGACTGGACCCAAAGGTAGCCAAGTTGCAGACTGGGCCAGCAGCTTCCCTGAGTGCAGGCTGACTGGCATTGCTTTGGGGATGGATGAATAAGGAGAGGCCGTGCTGTAGTTTTTACAGCTGTTTGAATTAACGTTTAAATTCCTTACTGGTGGTGACCCCGCAGCACAGACCAGGCTGGCAGGACATGGCAGGGACAGCTCAAAAGGGTTTTCCCCTTCCTTCCTAGCTCGCATTCTCCTTCTAGATGTTCAAAGCCTGAATTAGCCCCATGACATGAAATAAAGACTCCCCAAAGGGACAAAAGAGACACAGCATCCTGTTGTGACCCAGGCTACACCACCCTACCTGAGCATTAGTGCTCCAGGCTCAGCAGCCAGGGGATCTCAGTTTGGTTTTGGATCAGCTCCTTGGCTTGGAGGCCCCAGCCAGCTGGGGTCTGTCTGCAGGGATGGCAACAAGGACCCAGCTGGGGCACCCCAGGGGGGACATTTTTCCTGCTCACCAGTCGTAGAAAAGACAAACCTGTAGGAAAATGGAACATTTTTCTGTAACTCCTTCTGCCACCCTGGAAGAAATGCTTGTATTGTTGGAGGGCTTGGCATTGAGCTCCACTTCAATACATCTAGGCAACTATGTCAAAAACAGGGTTTTAAAATAACTAACAAGGTAAAACCTGAATTGAACAAGCTACCAAGGTCACCTTCACAATTAAAATAGAGGAGAGAGGTGTAACTCCCAGACTTATATAAGGGAAAAAGCCTTGTATGGGGATAACCCAGGTTAGGGGTTAGCCTCACTGATGGCTCTGCAGTAGCCACACTGGATGGGGGACCGTGGTACCACCCAGCCTGCACAACTTTTCATAACAGGGACGTTTGCCCCAGATGCTGGGCGATGCCCTAGTGCAGGATCAGAGCAGAGTGGCCCCTCTTCAGCTTCCAACTCCCCCAGCATGTCAGGCAGAGCCAGCCCAGGAGCTCTGCTCCCTCCACCCACTGGCTGGGAGAGAGGAGGTGGGGAAAAAAAAAAAAAAAAAAAAGGATGGCAAATTGAGACTTACCTCTGTGCTTTCTCCTGACGCCCCCATCACTCTCCTCCAATTTAATCATTCTCTTCCTCTCCAATCAATGCCAATTTGCAAGAGGAGCAGCTCCCAGTGCCTGAGCGCAAAAGCCTTTAATTACTGTCATCTTGGAGGCTGTGCCAGGCTCCCCTCTGGTGCCTTTTTCATAGTTTTCGGAAGACAGTGCTCTAGGACCTGACGCCCCCAACATGCCATTTGTCAAGCTTTATTTTAAACCAGCACTCACTGCCTATGGGGAGGCATCATCAGTTAAAAATCTGGCTTGTGAGGAGCAGCTTGCTGCACAGAAACGCCGAGAACTGCATCCCTCCATCTCTCTGCTGTCTCTCCTCCTGCTTGTAGACTGGACTCACATCATCTATTAAAGCTGCAACAGAGAAAACAGTATAAATGGGGTCAGAAAGGGACAAGGCGCATTAAGGGAGACCAGCCTGATTACTGTTACCTGTGCTGGCTCAAGAGCATCCTGTCCCACAGAAGTCCCCAACATGATTTTTGGGAGCACACTCCCCAAGGGGATGCATGACCTTTATGTACAGTGAGGCATTTGGTATAAGCCATGGCTTTGTATTTTCTCCTGCATGGTAGAACACGAACGCAGTCTCCTACACAAACTGAGTCCTGTGCATGGCATGCACAGCAGAGCAGGGATGAGAAATCACCTTGCTGCCTGCCCTGCCATGCTGCAGACAGGACACAGGGCTGGTCAGACTGCTGGGGTGAAACAGTACGATTGTCCTTAAGCACAGCCTGAGCTAATATCTGGCACTCTGCAAACCCAGCGACCTTGCTGCTCAGGTTCAGGAGACACTGAGAGACACCAGAAAGGATGCCAAAACATTTCCAGATGGCCTGGGCCGACCCACATGGGACCTGCTCTATGGAGTATGCCCATCAGAGCCATCCTTCTAATTTTTCATGTTTGGAGAATCAGCTGTGGCAAGGAACTGCGGAGGAGGGTTTCTGGGGAGCCACTGCCAGTGGGTGGCACTGCAAAACCAGCGCTATGGAATGGGAATGGAGGAGCAGGGTGGAAAAGCAGCACAGAGGCTGCACACGCGTGTGCTGAGCATCTCTGGCTCGGCAGCTCAAGGCACGGGCTGTGAGCACTGCGGGGCTGCCGCAGCCAGGCAGCACAACGGGAGGAGAGGAGGCATCTGCAAGGGGTTCGAGCTGCTGCTGTGGTGCAGGCAAAGAGCAGCACAGCCTCCATGGGGGACACAAGAGGGAAAGTGAACTGGCTGCTGAGGTCAGGATCAATCAATGCCCTGTAATAGATCACCCCAAAACATAAGGTCTCACCTCAGGGATCCAGACAGGCTTCTGCATCTGCCCATGTCATCCTGGAGGAAATTATGGCAGTTGGTGCACAACGAGGATTTGGCTCTGGAGGGATGTAATGCCTGCCTGGTGGGTGGCAGTGCCATCGACAGCCTCTGCCTCCACAGGCAGAGCCACCATTTCTCCACACAGTCATCACAGCTAGCATGCAGTTTCTGCAGGCTGTTTGCTTTCCCTGCCAGAGAAGTCTGCATCCAGCAGGTCCCACCAGCAGGATGCTCAGGAATGCAACCTCAAAAAGGAGTTTGCTTTTACATCACAGGGTTTGAAGCTGTGGCACCAGGGCTTCATCCGCTATCTTCCCTCTTCAGGGAACACGCTGAATGGCAGGGAGGGGGTGGCTGCCACATCCCATCCGCAGACTGCCCACCTTCACACTTAACACCTTGCCGCAACCCCTTCCAGACTGGGGAAGAGCCTCAATCCAGCCCTTCTGCCGCAAACAGATCCAGTTTGCTCCTAGCGCTGAGCACTTGGTAATTACAGTACATCCGACTTAATCGGGATGTGCTTAATTGGGAAATCCACTTACCAGGATGTCACCTAGGGAACCCAATTTAAGCTTGATAACACTTAAGAGCAAAGCCTGCTGCTTTATAGGGAAGGTAATTCTCCTGCAGGGAGATGCCTTCAGGTGGCTGAATCACACTCCCTCTCTCCCACCAGCATCCAGCAACTCCTGGCTGCTTGCTCCTGTAACAGATTTCAGCTTTCTCCTTAAGTAGGTTACAGTCAGGAAAGGCACCAACTGCTGCTGCCAGATCACTGCCTGCTGTCATCCCACAAACCCAGCATGTCCAACCCCTTTTTCTTGGTTAAATATGGTTTTCCTTCCATGGCCAGGACATTTTGATGAGGATGATAGGCATTAGGCATGCCCAAGCTGCTCTTCCCAGCCACCACATGAACTGGGATAGGGCAAGAGCCTTAGAGACAACCAATATCCCTTACCCCATGCTAATCTTCCTCCCACGTCTCTCTGACAGTCCAACACATCAAATACCCAAGTGAAGAGAGGAAGAGGAAATGCGAAGAGCTCTTAAAAAACGAATGTTTAGTTAAGCACTTGGAGATGCCAAATTTTAAGCCTGGTTTCCTACAGGAAAAGAGTTTACTTGACCATACTGAGTATTTGTGTGTGCACTTATGCATGTCTAATAGATCCCACTGATAACTGCTCCATCAAACCGGTCAGAGAAGCAGCTTTTTCAAAGACAACAAATTCCCACAAGTTTATAATAATAAGAGCAAGACAGAAGAGAGAAGCCCTATGAGTACCCAACCCCCGCTATGTCTCAGGGACTTGGGACAGCATTTTCACAAGCCAAACCCCACAAACCACATTTCCTTGTTTCCAGAGGGATGCAGATTGCTCCAGGATCATCATTCTTTCAGGATTTTGGCACTGCCTTGGTTATCCTTTTCCTTTATACTCTCACTGCTTGTTTTTTTTTTTTTGAACTCTTCCTGAAAGTGAAAGTACTCTGCTACTCACATTCAAAAGGCCAGCCTTTGGATGGAGGCTGCATTTGCTACCGAAACATCTGTATCGCATGGCAACAATACAACAAAACTTTTCAAGATGCTGTGTTGGTGTTTTTGTTCTCCCCAGCCTCTAGGAGCTGGAAGGAGTTGAGCTGAATGCTTTGGATATGTAACAGTGATTGCAAGCAGGCTGGGAGAAAGCATGGGCGACTCCTTTAGCATTGCTTGCCTTTCAGACACTAGGAAATACAATAGCTTGGCATCAGTTTTTATGACTGCAGGTTTTGTGCTTCCCTGAACAAGCCAACTTCCACATTAGCAACACTTGCTTTTTTAAGTGCTATAAAATATGCAGAGGCACTTGTAATATATAGCAGTTTCTGTTAAAACAGGAGGTTAAGTGCTGAAATGCTTCCCGATTTATCCTTTTGCTTCTCCTAAACCATGCGGGGAAAGGGGATAGATGCAATCCTCTACTTAAGTTTATCAGCCTTAATAACCCCAAGATCGATGGAAGAAAAATGCTGGATGCCTCTCTGTCATGGTAACAATCATATAAGAGAAAACCCTCTCAATTTCGGAGAGCCCCAACCAATGTCAAGCACAGCACAAGCACACTGAGGTGTAGCACAACAGTCAGAGCAGAACCTGCAGGCTCTGGTAGAGCAGATCACCACGATGAACCACTCTAGCAGGCTCACCTCCTCGTCCCCTCCTCTTGTTCCTGGCCCTCTTTGCCTTCACTCTGCTCTCAAGTAGGCAGAAGGCGGCACAGGCTCGCAGCAAGGCCGGCGTCATGGCCCGCAGCTGGCAGCCGGCTGTCTGCAGTCAGGTTCAGACCAGTGCCTCTGGAATGGAGAATGAGTATTTATGAGTTTCAGGCTTTTAGTACCATGCGTGTTCAAACCCATCCATGCCTGCGGAGCAACCGCAGCTCTCCGCTGCCAGTACGAACAGGTAACCCCAACCAGACTGCGCCTTGCATCCATTTTGCACATGTAAGAAGTATTGAGCAATGAGCAGGAGGGTCATCAGACCTCAAATCTTTAAAGCAACCCTGGACATCTTTATACAAAAGCAATGATTATGTTTAGCATGGCTTACGTGATATAGATTTTGTGTACTTTTTGGGTTCAAATTAAGCATTAATTGTTTAACAACTGTCAGTGGTGCTCTTTCCAGCCAGCAAAATATATCATGACATCCTGAAAGCTTCTTAGCACAACTGATGTTAAAAAGCAGATTGTTTTTAAGATTTTCAGTGCATTTTCCATCAGAGAAAAAGTGCTGAGCCTGGTGCTGGGAAGTGCAGTCTTACCCTGTTTGTCCAGTGGGTCAAGGGGGGGTGTTGGACCTAACTGGCCCCTGCCTGCACTGGCTTTGGGCACCCCTGGCCTGGCTCTGACATCCCAGCTTGTGCGGGGACACCAGGGATGACACTGCAGTCCCACCAGCGCCAGCCTCACACCCAGCCAGCTCCACCATCCAGATGCACCTGAGAAAACAAGTGCTGTACCTGGGCACATGCGCTCCGCACCTGATTTTACATCTGGGCAAAAACCAAAGGCAGGACACTGCCTTAAGCGTCAGGGGCTCCTTCATTCAGCATCTAGTACGCTAGCAGCTCCTGCTAAATGGTCCCTGCTCCATCCTTGGGGCCAAGGAAAAGCTCTGACTACTGGTGAAGTCCTGGGACCTGAGCATCCATTGCTTTGCTTTCAAGAAGGCTAGGAAAAAAAAAATAAATCTGTATTTTCCGGTTAATTGCAGAGTACCAAGCAGTAAAATCCTTATTTTATTATCATCCCTCTAGCCAGCCACCAGGCTCTGAAACAATGGTGAATGAAAACAGAGCTCGCTTGTGGTGCAAGTGAGGACAAAGATTTGGAGACTTGAATGGCACAACTGGATTGATGCATGGGCAGGGGCAGCCAGAGACCAGTAGAGCTTTAGGCACTCTGGGAGCTCACATTTAATTAAAACAGGGAGGAATTTGTCTCAGCAAGTTGTGAGACATTTACTTCTCCAGTGTGACTAAGCCGCTGTGTGTTATCTAACCTCTCCGTGGGGACTTGGCTGCCAGCTAACCATGTTCCTGCAGCTAAAGTGGGTTAATTGAATCTAGTTTGATGCTTTGGGGAAAGCCTGCTTGCCAGCCTACCTGCCCCTTCACAATCCCAATCAGCCTTGCTAGCAGCAAGACAACCCAGTGGGAGTTTTAGCTGCGAAGGAGTATTCAAAAAATCCTGACAAAATCCAAGGGCCTGACCAGAATGACGGGTTCTTGTGGTTCTCCACATCATTCCGTTTCCAGCAATGCAAATTGGTCTCTTCTCCTGCAAAAAAACAATGCTGAAACATGTTCCTACTGCTCACAGGACCTGGGGGCTCCCGACCGCTGAGAGCTGTCCTTAACCACAGTAGGAAAGTTGTGGCGCCGACTTTTCTTGTAGTGGTGATGCAAATCTCAAGACGAATTTCTCCATAAATAGCTCATTACAAACAGTTCTTTCCTTTGTCTCAGGTTCCAGATGAAGACGAGGAAGTTGTTCCGGCAAGAGCTGCACATATTATAGCAGAAAGATATTTCTCAGAGGGCACAGCTGAGCTACAACAGCCCTTGGGCTTTCTGACCTGTTCTCTGCACCCTGCAGCTCTCCCTACCCCAAGGAGATAGGAGGAACATTTGAACTCCAGAGGTCCTAGTTTCCATTCCTTTTCCCTCTTGTTCTCCTGGGCTGAAAAGCTTTTTTCCCCTTACTTTTCCAGCCCAACTTGACTCACAAGTCGGGCTCACCCCAGCTGACTAGCCCAGTTTTGCATCTTTGCTGTTTTTGGCTTATTTGCCAAAGCACTGGCATGGCACGAGGGGGTAAGAAAACAGCCGCCTGGTGCTGTGTCTCCTTTGCACTTTTGGAGGTCGCTGCTCTCTGGCAGCCTCCTGAGCCCCCTTTCTAATTCCCCAGGAATGCCCACCTGCCCCTATTCCCCCAGCACTGCCCCAAACACCCCCAGCCAGAGCAGGGGGGGGATGCTCTTGCTGCTGTATTTTGCATCCATTTGGTGGTACCTGAACAGACAGCGTTAAAGCCATGCAGGCACCATCTTGGGAGGCTTCAGAGAGGCTCTTGAAGGACAGGCTGAGGCTGCTTATCTGGAAGCAGAGTTAATTTTTAAAGGGAAATCCTGCTCACTTTTCAAAATGAGGTAGATTTTACCAAAATGCTTCTCCAGCTTAATACACCAGCAGTACCAAACGCATTGCTGAAAGAAAGGAATTTGCTGTGTCAAAGCAGAGCCGTGGTTTTCAAAGCTAACAGGGAGAGAGCACACTGTAAATATACGGAGGAAGCACATACACGGCTTATTAATAGACACTTGCTGGGAGACTTCAGGCTGTGTGACAAGGGTTTTACTGTACTCCGATGTCCTCACATGCCCCTGTTCCCGCACTCAGCACCGACCTCCTTCACCCTGCAGCTCACTTGTCAGACCTGACAGCTTACAGACGGCAGCTGGGGCACAGAAAATGGTGTTTTTGCAGCTGATATTAGTGCCTTAGCCACTGAAGCATCCAGCATCTATTCTCAGCTGGTAGGAAAAGCATCATACAGAAGGAGCTCATGCCCCTTTTGCTGATTTAACATTGCCTGAACTGTGAGTAGAGCAGGAGTTGATTTTGTTAGCTTTACACCCCAGCTCAACCACTCATTCCCCAAAAGGCTGAACACAGAACATGCTCTCTACTTCTTCTATGCAGCTGCTGTTGAGATGGCTCCAGAGTTTTCCATCAAAAGCAGCTCCCTGTTATTTAAGGCTGTTATGAACTGGACCAGATGTATACATTCCTACATAGCAAAACCTGGCCCAGCACAGATCCTACAGCCTCTGACTTCTTTCCCCATGAAAGCTGTAACAAGAAAACGAATACCCTAATTAAGGAACAGAAACCGGTCACTGTCGCACCGTAGGCTTCTCAATACATTCACACAAGTTGAGTTCCCTTCTTCCAGATACAGGCCTTTCTGTCAAACGGGGCATCAGCCAGCTGGGCTGCTGGTGGAGAGGGGTTGGCTTTGCACCCAGCGATGGAGGGAAAATAGCCCCCAGGGGATGCTGGTGGGAGCTGGTCTGTGCACAGCAAGGCAGAAACCCTGGTATCTTCTCAGAGCATCTCCAGCCTCAGGATCTATCAATTTCAGCACTCCTCCTGCCAGCCTGTAGATTGCCCAGGGCCCAGAGATGCACAGACTGTTATTAAGCAGCTATTTCTGTTGACATCCGTATTTTTAGGAAACATTACTGAAAACATTCACTGCGACGGCTTGGAGGTAATGGAAAAAGAGGCGAGCTGAATACTCTGGGATATGGGGACCTTGAGGCAGGCAGCCAAACCGGGCTGGGATGTGGCCCAGCTTCCCCGCTGTGTTTACGCTCTGTGCCCTGCAGGGCCCTGGATGAATCCTGGCAGTATCCCTGCGGCTGGCCAGCCCCTACCCAGGGGTTTTGGAAGGGGCCGTGTGCCAGTGGTGGGCTGGGATCACTGCCAGCCCACCTCAACAGGACCCTGTTCAAGAAGAGTGCTCAGCTCCCTGAGATGCTTGGGGAGCCGTGCCGAAGCAATGGCAATTAAATTAATGGTGAAATCTGCGGTCCCAGCGCTCTCCTTACTGCTCAGGAGCATCCAGCAGAAGGCAATATACGGGTCTGAATAGTGGATGCCAGACCTAGAGCTGCCTTGCCTGCAGACTCACAGCTGCTCATGCTCACCAGCCTCTTCCACTGCCCTTCTCCTTGTGTTCAGGATGAACGTGGCAGAACAAAAGGGACTTTGGGGAGACCAGTCTGCCCTCTGAACAGCCGATCCTCAGCACAGCAAGAAGAATTGACTCCAGCTTGATGCCCAGAGCCCCACACAGGTCTCCTTGTACCAAACCCTTCAGCATCTGGGATTTCCTGCAGCCACCCTGCCTGTGTCACCGGGTGAGATGCAAGCAGTGGGCCCCAAGTGCACTCAAGACATAAGGTTCACCCTCAGACTTCAAGGAGGAAAGCTGCTGAAGATGTGCTGGCCCTGAGCACGTTTGTACCTGTGCTGTCTGGACTGTCGTGCCAGGATGCTTTAAGAAGTTCCCCTGGCCTGCAACCACAGCTCCTAGGAGGCAAAGCACCACAGGCTGCAGCAATCAGCTGCACATTTCCTGCATTTTTATGCAGAAAACCAAGTGGGCCACCAAAACACAACCGTGATTAAAAAAAATAGAAATCATCTTCTGGGTCAAAGTCAGCATGCTCCCTCACCTACCTTTACCACCCGTCTGCATACCATAGCAGTTTGCACACCCACAGGTGTGCACGCATGGGCACAGATGCCAACTGGCAGCTGATGTGTTCCTTCTCCAGGACAGGGCTTATCTCAAAGCCCACTTATCCCCCAGCACCATGAGAGCCCGGCCCCGACTTTGAGCTGATGCTGCACAGCCTGTGCTGGGCAGGGTGCTGGGGCCACAATCGTCCTCTTGTGCAGACCTCAGCGTGCTTGCTGTAACGCACAGCACTTGACCACAAAGCCCTGAGACATGCTTAATACTGCTCTTGCGCTGTTTGCCCGCTAATAGCCTTAACTTCCGACTGCACCGTGCCAGGGTTTAGGCAAAGCAGGGTTCCCAGCAGGGTGCTCTATAGATTTCCTCTCCCATGAAAAGAGACTTACGCCTTCACATTTGTTCCTTGTGCCCAAATCCTATTCTTTCCAGGTAGAGGAGAGAGGAATTTGGTGGATTATGATTAAGGAGGTGTTGTTCTGAGCAGGAGCGGGGCAGGAAGGTTAATGCAGCATGTGGCTGTGGAGCATAAGGAAGAGATGCATTAACGGGAAAAGGCTTGTGAGAGGGGTTTCTCAGGGCTCTTCTTCCCTGCAGAGCAGGTAGGAATTTCCAGGCATGCAATATGCGTTTATTTGATCCAGAGGTGGACATTGGACTTGAGCTGGTCCCCTGTTACTGTGCAGTGATGCTCAGCAGTGGCAAGTGGCTGTAGGGGTGGGGTGGGCGCAATGCTTGTGTTAGGAAGCCCCACCATGCCCAGGCATGAGGCAGGAGCTGTTGGCAGGACCACAGAGCTCACGTACAGCATGCTATCTGCCTTCCCAAGGCTCCAGCACCTTTCTCTCCAGAGCCCCAAAGCACTGCAGAAACAGTAATTAAAACTTCCCAGCCCCCAACCTCACCAGCGGTGCTGAACTCATTTTGCAGTGTGGGAAAATGAGCCTTGCACGATTAAGACAGACAACACAATTCCAACAGCAGGAGAAATCACTGTTGAAATGTAAACTGCTGCGTGAGCCCTGGCCCTTCACTTCCTACAGAAGGCCCATCAGGCCAAGAAGAAGCATGTGGTGTCTTCTTCATCAGGAAGACAACACCTCTTTCTCCCCATATGGGCAACAAAAGACCAACCCACCAGATTCATCTGTGCAGTCCCAATGCCTACAGTCCAACATGTTTGGCAGGATTGGAGGTTGCAGTGAAGTGGGGAGCAGTTGAAAGATAAGGAAAGAGATGCCTTCAAGAAGCCCTTTGTCCAGTTCCTCCTCCTGGAGCATCTCTACCTTTAGAGCCATCAAGAGTTCAGAGCTCCTTCTGCCACCCTGTTGACCACAGGGCTGATTTCCTTCCCTTGAAACGTATTAACAGAAACTTCTTTCATATGGAACTTGGTGCTGGAGCACACTAGAGGTTGGCTTATCTGAAAGCTGTACACTAGAAGCTCACACCAGAAGCTCTGACTGTTTGCATTCTGGTTTCTTTAATGCAGCAAAGAGTCTAGCAACAAAACAGACCATCCCTCTCCTCATGCCTGCTGGCTCCATACTCTCCAGGAACCCTTGGAAAAAAATCCATGCAGGAATCTAGACTTCCATCAAGAAGATCTGGGCAAATGCTGCAGCTACAACTACGTAGCCATTACAGAGGACCTGCTCTGTACATGGAACTTCAGTGTTGTAAAACCTTACATTGTCCCTCTGCAGAGCATGAGTAACACCTTGAGGAAAGCATGAAGCTACTTTTCTTCAAAGATTATCCAGCAAAACAATATTTAACCTAACACACTCAGGTATGTGCTCACATTCTTTGCGACTCTTTTTAGTCACAATGCTTCAACTGATGAGCTACATTTCATCCCAGGATGAGACATGCTGTAAATGAAAAAGACCCATGCATTTACTTTTTTTACCTGCCAATCCATGCCTGCTAGGAGAATTACAATGACATCTCAAATTAGGGTCAACAGAAAAATTTAGCACACATCAGCTCTGAGCATCTGTATGGGGCTGAGCTTGGGCTGATGCAAAAGCTACAGGCAAAGCTCACAGAAAATGTCAGCAAGTTTTGCTATCAAACAGATTGAGGCAATTGAAGAAATTACCAGCACTTTGCTGATGCAACCTGCTGCTTCCTAACTGCTGGAGCAGACCAGGCACTCTTTGCAAATTACCTTTTGGGATCGCTGGAGGTTATGCCACGGTGGAATCAAGCCCACCACGGTGCCATGGGTGTCCTTGGATCGGATGGGGATGCTGGACTTGGAAGATCACATCTGCCATGCTGAGCCCTGACAGCCCTTGCCTGATGTCACCCAGCAGGACAGTGGCAACACGTGGGATACAGGCAGTGGCCAGCCCCTGTTGTGATCACAAATAAAAGAACAGGAAACAGCAGCAATTGAAAACGAATTAAAAAGAGCTGCTCTTCTCTGCAGAGCTGGCAACTAATGTGCACATCTGCGGGGACTAATGGTAAATGCTCCTTTCCCAACCTGGCTACTGAATGAATGAAGAAGTTAAGCCTGCAATAAAATTCATCACACATTTTAGCACTCTCAGTGTCTTTCACCCAGTTGTTGGTGTGTCTCTAGCCATTAAAATCCAAGTCTTGCTGAACTAAGAAATGCATGAAGTAAATTGCACCCAGGCAGTGGGAACTTTGGCCAAGCATTTTCCCATTTGCTTGCCTTGTCCTCAACACAAAGTTAAGCACGTGCTAATATGCTGTGAGGTCCTGAGCTGCAGTTTGGTGCCAGCTGGGGATGGAGGGCAGGCAGTCAGATGGCCACAATGGTCACAGCAGCACTGCATGACACATGTCTAGGTTCAACATCACCACGTAGGAGCTGCTGGCAACACGTGCTGCTTTAGGTCCAGAGGACAGCCAGTACAGAGACCACTGCAAGCTGTAATCAATGGCAGGGTTTTGCTGGAACCATTGGACACCCCTCCCTACCCTGCCCTCTTAGAATCACAGGACCATCAAGGTTGGAGAAGACCTTCAAGATCATCCAGTCTGACCTACCGAGTCCCCTTGCTAAGCCCTGTTCCTTTGTTCTTAAAACCTCTCCCAGGGGGAAACCACCCTTGCCTCTTAACAGCTTGTCAAATGCTTAGGGACCCTTTGGGAGGAAAAGGCAATTTTAATGCAAAATAACCTTTTTCTTTTTTTTTCATTAGAAAACTGGGTTTATCCCTGCTCTGCTGTTACTGCCTTCAAAACACTGAGCCCAGACCCCTGGCGTGGGGTGCGTTCACCCCCAGGGGCAGCCATCAGGCTGTAGCCTGGCTGTCTGGAAAACCCAGCAAGGCTGCAGGATGTGGGGAGAGGTCCCACTCCAGAGGGGAAGACAAACCAAATTTCAGCCTCCCCCGCTCACCACCAGGCTGCTCCCAGATGCACGCCAGCAGCACCTGCGGCCGCCCACTCCAGGAGCATCCCCACGGGCTCTGAGCAGCTGGGGAAGCGCTTACGGAGCTGGCAGCGACGTGGGGAGTGTTATTTACTGATCTGGAATGGATTTTCCATACCTGCTGGTATTTCCAGACCTCAGTCAAAAGCAAGGGGCAGCGACACTGTTGGGGGGCGGACAGGCTTGAAGGGCTTTGCTGAAACCTGTGGTTTTGTAGTTTAGCACAGCGGACTGGCTCCATTTGTCTCCTCACTACTGCAGCATGATCCCCAAGGAGAGGGGGGAAACGTGCTGGTTTGGACTTGCTGTGCTTCGTGTTTGAAAGGGATGGTCTTCTGCAAAGGGAAGAGAGAGACCTGGAAACCTGCTGATTCTATTATGCTTTCCTGGGGCTAATTTAAGTTGTTGGAAATCAATGCAGCCGTGAAAAAAGCAGCCCGTGGGACTCGATTCAGAACGCCTGATTCCTATTAAAGATCTAGGAATTGCAGGGAGAGGAGCAGTGGCATAGCAACAGGAAACGTTCCCTGAAGATGATGTGACTTCAAACGAATTTCTCTGTGGCTGGGGTTTCCTGCTCACCTAGGAGGCTTTGAGGGGGTGGGGGGAACGGCAGCAGAGCCAGGGCTGCTCTGCTCCCCACTCCATCACCTTTCCAGGACTTGAACGTTTGGCTTTCACTCCAAGCCAAAACAAAGTCAAGATAAAAATATCAGAATCCTCCAGGCCAAAGTCATGCTCCTGCTGTGTTCCTGCTCTAGCCTGAAAAGTGACTTCCCATCAAGATGCACCATAAGAGCAATTACCCCAAGAGGCAGCTGCGATACTCCCAGCGAGACTCCGCTGTCTGTCACAGCCGTGTCACAGCCTCGCCACTGACTTCAGCTCGTTTTTAGCAGCTATCAGGAGCTGGCAGGACACAGGGCTTCTAGTCTGAAGGCACCCCTGATTGCTGGCAGTCGGGCACATGCCAGCATCACGACAAGGTACAGGGACATAACACCAGCAGCTGGATTCATGAGAAGTGGTTTCTCAGGAGAAGGCAGCTGATGGCCGCTTCTGCCAGGGAAGCAGGTGACACCAGGCTGAAGAAGAGCATTTGTCTGCACCAATGGGCCACTGAGACATGGAAGAAAAGTTTCCTTTGAGGGCAAAGGGGCACATCTCTGCTTTCACTTACCACCCACAGCAGCTCTCCTCCTCTCAGTGCGCCGTTCTCATCCCTCAGCTGACATCGTGCAGCAGAAAACACTAATCTCATCCTCCTCCTACGACATGCCAACAGGGAAAGAAGCTTAGCTGGGGACAAGGCACTTCCCAGCAGGCTCTGTGAAGCCGACCTGGTGGCCTAGGGTCCCCTGTAAGGATTATACACGCAAATCCCTGCGGCTCCTGTGTGCTGAGCAGGGACGAAGCGGGCACCAGGATTTGAAGAGATGCTGGCTGGAAAATAACCGTGAGAAAGGAATAAACCAATTAATGCTGACCCACTGACAGCCAGCACCTCTCCCCCATCATTCCCTGCACAATAAAACCTGTCTCCGAGGCTCAAGCAGATTTAGGGTGACTGCAAAGAGCCCGGAGGAAGAAAAAACAAAACACCAAAAACCCTTTCCCACTCCAGCTAATAATATTTCCAGATAATCTGTTGGAGGCAGCACCCTCTGCAAACCGGGAAAGCTTTTAAGAGCTGTTAACACCTTCATTTAAACTTCCTCATCCTCCACCAGACAAGCTGTGATTAATTACCCAATCCACCTTGATCCCCCTGGGAAACAGCACTGGCTCTGAGCATTCATAGGCAGATTTTCTGGGCATGCCGGGCCCCTCTCAGCCTCCAGATAAGCAGGAAAAGGCTGGCGAGGGATGAACACCATCCAGCCACGTGTTTACGTTAGCAGGGGTGGCAGGATGAAAAGCTGACCAGGGTCTAGGCAACATTTGTGGTTGGTTCTCTGACTGGGCTTTGGAAGGGACAGTCACCGAGAAGCCCATCATTCAGGCCCCACTGAGAGTACAGCCCCACTGGGTTTCACCTGGGTTTTCTCAGCCCTCCTTCCAGCTTTGCTGGTCTTCAACTCGGCTTGCTTGCAGGGTATGTCCTTTCCTAGCAGTTCCCAATCCTACCAGCGGCTTTGGAGATGGGGAGGTGCTGAGGAGAGGGCAGCTGATGCTTGTTTTGGCAGCTGGTCACTACAGCAGCTGTGATGATGGCATGAGCATCTACACCTGCCAAGGCCAAAAACTCAGAGACAGCCTGATTGCCACCACGAGGCCCTGTCTGCCATCGCTGTTTTCTGCCAGCCACCTCAAGAAACCTTCAGCCAGGGACAGCAGCAGCTCTTGGGTCCTAGTGTGTCAATTGCCGGGCTCCACATGAATTTACAAAGGAAAACCACTGTCCTCTCCTTGGTCCCTTCTCCTACAATGTATAGGACATTTTCAAACAAGACAAAACAACTTCGGAGTCATCATCTTGTGTACTTTCTGAAAAGGTGCCAAAGAAAGAATGAAGAGAAAGAGAACGTCCGCCAGATGGTGCAAGAGGGTTCAGGTGTCAGCTCCCCCAGGGTGCTTCGCAGCCCCAGGTGTTGGTTAGCATCACACCTACACACTCTGCATTGTGGGCTGGGCTCAGTTTCAATTTTCTTCTTTTTTTAGCTGTGCTTTCAAGAAAGGGAACAAACAAACAAAAAAACACATCTCTGAATCTTTGCAGCTTCCTCAAGTCTTTGAGAAACAGAGAGCTGAGGAGCAAGCAGGGAACCTGGGATTGCTGAAGGCTCCAGCCAGCTGGAGGTGTCTCTATCTTCCAGTCCATGTCCAGGAACAACAGTCATCAAATCACCTTGACCAGACACTGGGAAGTGTGTGGGTGTGCGAAATGGATGTGGCTTATAGATCCGCTCTGCCAGGTCTTCTCCAGGATGCTGAGTGTGTGGGACACCCGGGCACCTTCTCTGGGGTGGAAAGCCAGAGGAAGCTCCTCCACGGGGGCTCCTGGCTCTGCCAACAGCGCCTGCTCTTACTGACCACCCGGCTGGATCGATATATTGAGAAAGTAATGCCCAGAGAGAATTGCTGTGGGATTTCTGCCTCTGGCATGTGAGCTGCAATCATGCAGAAACAGAAAGAACATTACAGATTTTGAGGATTTCTCCACTCCTAGCGAGGGACAGCCAACATGTCAGGCTGGGACCCAGCTAAGCAAAGCAGGTTCTGTGGCACTCTTGCAAGGACAACAGTAACTCACAGGGGCCACCCATCTCCACCAGGACTGAAGTTGTCACTGCTCTGCCCTGAGGACACTTGGGCAGCTCTCCCAGCTGCCTTCTGGTGATCAGTGGTGCGGATCCAGTGAAGCCCAGCCCAGCTAGTTTGGGCAGGCCAGCCTGTTTGGCAGACACAGTACTTTTTACAAGGGTCTAGTCACTGTTTGGATAGGAGACATGAGGAAAAACCAGGCGCTGCAGGAAGTGGTTTGGGTGATTTAGTAGGTGGCATCTTCCCTGCGAGTCAGCAGTGTGCTGAACGTCCTCGCAGGGAGTTCAGGGCCCCGCGCTGCCACAGGTGCTGCCATTTTAATGACATCCCAAGCCAACCACTTGTGGTCACCCAAGATCCCACTTCTTGCAGGCGCGGAGGTGTTAGCTCCAGTGTCCTGACCAAGCTCCAGTTGTCAGCAATTATGCTCTGCTGAGCCAAGAGCTACAGGAATTTCCTCTGGACACATTTATTCTTCACTCTCTCTTCCTGCTATGACTACTGAACAGTTTTCCCAGGTGCCAGAAAAGAGCATTTACATATGTGCATCAGATACAAATACACTGAAAGCCCTTTTCTTGTTTTTCCCCATGCTCATTCTCTAAGGGCAACCAACCCTAGTGTCCTGTTTGCCTTGTATCCGTGTTCCTTCCATACGTCCCTATCCATGCAATTTCCAGCTCTTTCATTCCCAGACATAGGATAAAAACAGACCAAGGTGCCCAACGCTACTATCACGTGCATCTTTCAGTCCAAGGCCCATGAACCATTCACATCTAAAACTTGGTCTGATCAAACCACAGTGCGACTTCCATGCTCACCTGTTGGTTTTGCTCTTCTTCCTCTGCCTGGGGTTGTTCAGGTCACGGCCATCACTAGCTTTGGCTGAACAAGTGCATCATGCCGCACCCCGACGGCTGGCAGCATCTGCCCCACTCTCCATCTCCGCCCAGGAAGCAAGCACACCTCAACCCTTGGTGAGAGATCCCAGCTGCTACCAGAAAAAAAAATAAATCACAGAATCACAGAATGGTTTTGGTTGGAAGGGACCTTAAAGATCATTTTTTCCAACCCCTGCCAAGGGCAGGGACACTTCCCACCAGACCAGGCTGCTCAAAGCCACGTCCAGCCTGGCCTTGGACACCTCCGGGGATGGAGCACCCACAGCTTCTCAGGGCAAATAACTTATTATGAGACTGACACTAATGAAAGATGAAATTGTGACTTCAGATGGACTATAGCCATGGAAAACATTTCAATAATTCACCATCCTGAAAGTGAAGTATATTACTGGGAAAGAGGTCTTTTCACAGCGGCATTAACTTCTGTGTAACCAGAGCTGGAAGCAAAATGGGACTTCTGAGCAGTAGAGAATCCTGGCATTTCCAAACGCATTTGAAAACCAACCCCCCTTAAAAATTATTTGTAAACATAAAATATTTTGTTTCAGCATTATCTTTTTCAAGAAAATGAATTCTAAAATTAAACAAAAACACAAAATGCTGAAACAAACCTCAAAACCTAGAGCAGAATGCTGGCAAATGATTCAGTCACATTATTGCCTTCTGTGAAAATGTTTCTATTTTGGCAAAACCACGTTTTTTGGGGGGCAGGCGGGCTGTTCTGCCAGAGGCTTCTGAACCTGCAGCAAGTTGTAATGGAGGCTGAAGCCAGACATTGCGTGGGAGGCAACATTTAAACTGTTGCAGTTTGGTTTTTCATTTGAAACCACTCCAAGGGCGGCGGGGAGGATGTACAGGAGCATGAATTGCTGTCGGGCACTTTGGCTGTCTTGGAAAGTCACCCTCAGTGCCTGGGCAAAGCACGGCTGATGCCAGCGAGGCAGCCAGACAGCAACACTTGCACAAAGTGGGGTTATCTGGGAAACCCCTACTAGATTTCCTCTTCAAGTGGGAACGCCATCTGGGCAATTACATCGAATTTATCTCAGTAATTAAATGCAACTTCACTCACACAGCAGATGCATTTGTGTTGGTTCTTCTACACGTAGCCCAGGAGGTCACTGAGGATGCTGTGCTGGTTGCACACCCTGCAGCCGCTCACAGGGCACGGGGTGGCAGCTGGAAGGGACTGTCACTGCCAGTGGGGGGACAGCACATATTTTCGCTATGGAGCCAGGCTCTTCATGAGGCAAGAGTGTTTCTTTAGGGTTGATGAAGGAAAGATGTGCAAATGGCATGAGTTTGCTAGCTCTGACCCTATGCAGCCCATGCAATGCAGCGCTAGATTACAATCTAGCAGGGAGTCTCCTCTGGGACAGCAGGAGAATGAAACCTCCTCAGCCTCCTTTGGAGGCCACATGGGCTTCTGTGCATCTATGGACATCCGTGCAACAACAGCCTCTTGCACAACTCAGCCTCAGTTCCTTCCCTTGCTGTTGAAACCACTGCAGAAATCCCAATGGGAAACTCTTCTGGGATGTGACCGCTCATGAGACAACAATCCTGCCTGCTTTGGCCAGGCTGGGAGGTCCTGCTGCTGGCGAGGATGCTCCGGCCAAGCAGAGCGAGGAAACACCTATGAAATAAACCTCTTTTGTGGTTTCACATAAAAAAGTCAGTTATGTTATCTGTTGTGTGACATGCTCAAAACCTACCACAGATGACTAAGCAGCTGGGAGTTACTGGATCACAGATCATATAATCCTTCTTGTACTTGGCAGCATGACTTGTTATGATTCATAATTTCCAGGCGTATTAGGATTCACAAAGGAACGTAACAGAAATCCTCAATTTTGCAACAGGAATCCTCACGTGTTTAGATCCTTGCACACAATTTTGGTTTAAAGACCTCAGGTTTGGGTTTGTTTGCATTCCCCTCTCATGCAGAGTCCCCATGGAGAGGCAAGGAAGCTGAAGAGAGGCTTTGAGTGCAGCACCCTTCTTCCGAGCAGGAGAGCAGGTTCTCATGCTGGGTGGTGAGGGCAGGAAGCCTGGAAGGGGGTGCATAAGGAGATGTTATTAGTGTTGAGGGATGGAGAAATGGCAGAGGAGAAGCAACAAACTGCTCTACCTCCACAGCAGCTGGCTTTGGGCTGGAGGTGAGTCACAATGATGACATTCGATTTAGTGGTAGCCAGCACAGAAATGCCATATTTTGCTGCTTCCCAGGCCAGGCTTGGCAAGACACTGGAAGCACTGCAACCCGCGGGGAGCCCAGAGCCTCTATTCCTCTGCTTTATTCACAATTCTCTTGTTGCCACCCTAAGAGAGATTGACAAGTCTCTAATATGAAGAGGAGGCAACTCAGAGGTCAGGAATCATAGAATCGTAGAAGCATACAGGTTGGAAAAGACTTCTGAGATCATCTAGTCCAACCTTTAACCTAGTACTGAAGTCCACCACTAAACCACATTACTAAGTTCTATATTTACACGTTTCTTGAAAACTACCAGGGATGGTGACTCAATCATTTCCCTTGGCAGCCTATTCCAATGCTGCACCACCCCTTCAGTGAAGAAATTTCTCCTAATATCCAACCCAAACCGCCCCTGGCGCAATTTGAGGCCACTTCCCCTCATCACTTGGTGCTTGGGAGAACAGCCTGATCCCCACCTCCCTACAGCCTCCTCTAAGGCAACTGTAGAGTGTGACAGTGTCTCCCCTGAGCCTCCTCTAAGCTAAACAACCCCAGCTCCCTCAGCTGCTCCTCAGAAGTCGTCTTGTTCTCTAGACCCTTCACCAGCTTCACTGCGCTTCTCCAGCCATGCTCCAGCACCTCAACATCCTTCTGGCAGTGAGGGGCCCAAAAACAAACACAGCATTTGAAGTATGGCCTCACCAGAGCTCGGTACAGAGGGACGATCACTTCCCTAGTCCTGCTGTTTCTGACACAAGCCAGGATGCTGTTGGCCTTCTTGGCCACCTGAGCACACTGCTGGCTCGTATTCAGCCAGCTGTTGACCAATACCCCCAGATCCCTTTATGGGGGTGCAGCTTTGCAGCCACTCTGCCCCCGGCCTGTAGCATTGCATGGGGTTGTTGTGCCCCAAGCGCAGGACCCAGCACGTCCACCCAGGGTAGTTTGGGGAAGAAGAGCTCCAACCTCACTGCCTTCTCTGACGATGGTGTAACCCTCTAAACTAAGCTCTGAGGTAGTCATCTACAGCAGTTCCCGAGTCTCCCAAATCCAAACAAGGCAGTATAGCCACTGTTTTCCAAAGCTCACCGAGCCACACGCACACCTCAGCCTGGATCCAACACTGACCCCAAAAGGGAAGCAGCAGCAAAGCTGGGGAGGTGATGGCCCCATGCCCATCCATCCTGATGTCATTACACATTTTTCTTTTGAGAGGCACCAGTGTTGCCAGGCCCAAGGGTATAAAATCCCATTTAATATTTCATTTTAATCAATTGCTTTTGGTAAGTGCCTGTTGAGGAATTCATGGCAGCATTTTCTCTTTGACACATAGATAGTTTCAATTATGAAAGATGGCTAAAAATAAAAGGAAATTATACTGTTCAGACATCTCTGGAGGTGGAGACAGGAGGGGGAGCTGTCAAGGAGAGCCAGGGAAGAGATTTTGTTAGATGTAAAGAAAAGTTACTTATTTTTACTGAAAGAAAATGTCAAGAGGAAGCCTGACTTGAGTATTTGGAATCTGCTACTCACCTTCTCTATTAATAATTTAGCCTCAGCTATGCAGGGTCTGAGCCAGAGTATCAGAGTTTAAAGTCATGGCAATCTCTGCAGTTGGTTGGACCACCCTCCTGAATCTCTCAGTTTTACATACGGAAACAAAAAACAAAGAAACAAACAATATATATTCATGAAGAAGCCCAGAATTTGTCACTATGAACAATCTTTTGGGGCTTTATTTATGTATTTATTTAGTGGGAAAGGCTCAGGCTAATAACCCACGGCTCATTACACCCTCAGTGAGTCTATAGGATGTCCTGATTTTGGTATTACATTTACATTTTGTATCTGAAATTACCTGGATGATAGCAGGGCTCGGACCTTCAATATTTTATGGATGGAGAGGATTATTTCTCTGGAATTTCTCTGTTATTTCTAAGCAGCCATAGCAGGCTGCTTAGCTTCTGCTATGGACCACAGTTGGACCCAACTCAGCAGCTGCATGTCTGCTAGGATACAGTAACATTCTCTGTGCATACTTGTAGACATTAGCAATATTTCCAAGCTTACACCTCTTTTAATGATGGCAATATAATCTGCATCACCAGGGGTTCCCCTTGAGCTAAGGGCTCACACCCCAGCTCCCCATGCTAATGCTGTGGACCTAAGCTCTGTCTGAGAATACAGCCAGACCCATCTGAATGAACACGACCTTGGGCAGCAGTCACCTTTCTGGGCAGGTCCTCAGTGGACAGACTGTCCTGCCCAAGCCATGAAGAACATCAGCTTGCTGAGAGGCTCATGATGTAAAGAGACGGGGATGTGTCCATTTGCTTAATGAAAGCTGAAGTCAGTTCAAGCAGCCTGATGCAGCCTCGCTTCAGAGCATGTTCTAAGCAGCCTTAAATAAGCAATTGCTTTCAACACAAACCAGCTTCCTCCAAGGAAGTACTACACAGGTGTCAATTTGCCAAACAAAACATGGACAGCCTCCCAGAAATCAATGTTTACAGGAAATTTCAGACACACATTTGCATCATCCCTTTAATTAAATGATGCATGCTCACTCAATTCAACAAGCTTCTATCTTTAATATAAATCAGTCTTAGTAGCAAAAACAGAGAGAAGACATCAAGTTGATAGGGAATGTTGGAGTTCAGGAAGTGAAATGAAGACTATTCTCCAGACAGACTGCGGGCTGTCACTGCTGAGTGTCACAGAGCCATCAATGTGGTACATATGACAATAAGAGGTGACACACAGAGCCCTCACCAACTGCACTGTCACTTGGACTGTGCTGGGAGCAAACCATGCTCTGCCCCAGCCTGTACTGAGCTCCAACCTTATTTAAGTTCCTAACTGAAAACACATATAACATACTGAGTGCTTCTTTCTGACCTTCTCTGAAGCCTCAGGTAGAATGTAAGGGTGAGAAGAGGAGAGCTGGGAGAAGTTACGCTGCAGCTGTAGAAGATCCACGGGTTACATCTGTTGTCCACTGCAAATCAAAGACACTGGAAGAAGATTAAAGTCACTATAAAAGGGCACAGTCTTGCTTTGTAAATGAGAGATGAAAAGCCTCTAGACCTTTCCCCCCTCCAGAGTACCTGTTTTTACCAGTCTTTAGCGAAGCACACTGCTCTGATTGGACTGGGCTGTATTTTCTGAGCCACGTGTACTAATTTTAAATGATCAAACCCTCAATTAGCTGCATTCTTTGTTGCATTTTAGGCAGCCATTTTAAGTTAAAAATATTGTACATGTTTGGTGCATTTGGAAACATTCCTACGTTAACCCAAGTGCAGCAGCACTTTCAGCACAGTGTGCTTTCTGCAAAACCACCACTAACTACTGAAAGGGTGCAGATGGTCTTGGGTACAGCCTTGCATTAGCAGGTGTGCTGAGCCCTGGGAGTGTGGTGTGCTACTGCACACACTTCAGCCCTGTGCAATTAGAGTGTGCAGCCTTGTGCTTTTGTTGTTGTGTTGATAATACACAGCAGAGGAAGACTGCAGAGTGGTTTCAAAGCAGGCATCTTCTCATTGCACACGAGCAGCTTTTTATCAGGACTATTCCTTGCACTGGAAGTTTGCTTATGAGGGCTCCCTTCCCTCATGAGCTGCAAAGGAAGTGCAGAAAAATGTTGCCCCAAGAGGCTATGGAAAATAGGAAGCTGGATAGCAAGGGAGAGATGTTCTGCAGGAGCTGTGATATAACTGGGCTCATGATCAACAGTGACTTCCAGAGAAGAATTCAAACCTCCTGTGACAAGTGCATTATTTTCCACTATTCTTCAGCAAACTTGTCATCTCTCTGCCAGATCTAAAGGATAACGCTTCAGACACACATGCTTCATCTGCAGTCTTGCCTGGCAAGTCACAAAAAGCCTGGCACAAAGTACAATTGGGAAGAAGTTTTGTAAAAAGCCACAGGAAATGACACAGCATGGCACAAGAGTGCCTGGGGAGTTCTGCACACCCTGCGTGGCTGTCCTGGGTGCCATAAGCTGGCAAAGCTGCAGTTATTTGATACACACAAGCCCATCTAGCTCCTGCACAACCAAAAGCAATATGTGGGTTTGCCCTGGCTTTAAAGGGATGGCGCTGGCTTCTCAGAGCATGCTAGGATGGGATTTTCTTCCCAAAGGAGCCCAAATCCCTTTAGAGCCCAGTCACCCTGTATCAGTCTTGAATAAATGCTTCAGACCTTGGGGAAGCACTGAAGTACAGTATTACTGAAGACAGAAGATAAATCATCCTAGAGATGAGAACTGTGTGTGTCACATCTAAATGAGCTGCTGAAGACTGTTTCCCATATTTCATGTGCCTTTTCCATGCAGTGAACAGGGAGCTCATCTCTTCGCTCAGTGGTTGCCAGCCTCTAGCTGGGAGAAACCATTTAACTTTAAGAGCACAGCGCTGCATTAACAGATGAGCTATCAGAAGACACTGCTTTGTGTGCTTAGTTTGCTTTACCGAGGCAGCAGTTGGGATATGCTCATCTCAGGAGTGTTGCCGGATCTCACTTGGTTCTCAAAGGACTGATAATGCTGTTGCTTGAGGCTGGAGCTGACCAGCAATCAGCACTGGGGTACAGCAGAGAGTAACAAGGCAGCTGTAACATCACCAGAAGTATTTTCACCAGCTATGTGCAACCTCAGCAAATACCTGTAGTCGGAGATATCTTTAGGTACATTTCAGGATGAAGAGCATGGGGCAGGCAAGCCAGCATTACAAGACTTGTAACAAGGAATGGTGCAAAAACTGCCAGGTTTAAGCCACCCCTTTGTGGCATATGTGCTCACAGAGTCAGGGGGAAGGTCTGCTGAACTTGCAGGGGAGGCAGCCCAGTGGT